GACCAGGCTGGACTTTGACATCTGAGCAGGGTTCAGATCCCCGCTTGGACCTACCTCTTCCATGAGATCTCAAGCAAGTCAGCGTCTAAGCCTCAGGTTCCTCCTTTGCCAAACCAAGAGATGAGCCGGTTTGGGGCGGGCCGTGTGATGGCGCTGGGCCGGGTCCTCTGCCCCCGCAGGTGGTCTATGTTGCCCGCAACGCAAAGGACGTGGCGGTCTCTTACTACCACTTCCACCAGATGGCCAAGGTGCACCCTGACCCTGGGACCTGGGACAGCTTCCTGGAGAAGTTCATGGCCGGAGAAGGTGGGTTGACCGGAGGAAGGAGGGTGTGGAGCCGAGGGGTGGCTACAACACACAGCAACCCTGTGTCGCTGTCCCCCGCCCGCTTCTCCAGTGTCCTACGGGTCCTGGTACCAGCACGTGCAGGAGTGGTGGGAGCTGAGCCGCACACACCCTGTTCTCTACCTCTTCTATGAAGACATGAAGGAGGTGAGACCACCTGTGCTGCTGCCCTCCATGGGACAACTGGGGGCAGGCACCTCACAGGGACACGCAAGGCCACCCAGTCCCCTCTCCAGGCAGCACCACAGCAGGCCCGGATTCCCCATCCTGCCTCCCTGGCCCAGGCCTCCCAGCTGCAGCCCCACCTGGCAGCAGGCCCCACACAGCTCTCATCTCCCACACCTGAGTCAGCTCCACAGGTGGCCACGGATCAGATACTTTTTTTGAGAGAGTCTCGTTCCGTTGCCCAGGTTGGCATGCCGTGGTGTTAGCTCACTCTAATCTCCTCCTGCCAGGTTCAAATGATTCTCCTGCCTCAGCCTCCCCACAAGCTGAGAGTACAGGTGCACGTGACCACGCCTGACTAGTTTTTGTATTTTTAGTAGAGAGGAGTTTTTGCCATGTTGGCCAGGCTGGTCTCGAACTACTGAGCTCAGGTGAACCGCCTGTCTTAGCTCCCACAGTGCTGGGATAACAGGCCTGAGCCATGGCCCCTGCCACGGATCAACTATTTTTTCCTATTGCTTCTCCCTGCCAGAGGGTGTCCCACCCAGAGCCACAGTCACGGAAAACCATCCCGGTCCTCACCCATAGGAGCCAAGCCCAGCTCATCAAGGGATCACAGGGCAGAGAGCAATTCATTTTACCCCAGGGACAGGGCCCCAAGCGTCCAGGACCTGGCTCTGAGGGTTTTCTAGTGGAAGTGGCCAGATCCCCTCTGAGGTTAGAGAAGGGGACCCCTTTTACTTTCCCGAATCAGCAATCCCAGTCTCCACTGAGGAGCCCTCTGCTGCTCAGAACCCCAAAAGGGAGATTCGGAAGATCCTGGAGTTTGCGGGGCGCTCCCTGCCGGAGGACACCCTGGACCTCATCGTTCAGCACACGTCATTCAAGGAGATGAAGAAGAACCCCATGACCAACTACTCCACCCTCCCCAAGGAGTTCATGGACCACAGCATCTCCCCCTTCATGAGGAGAGGTGGGCGCCGGCCAGCACGGGGGTTTGGGGCTGGTGGGAGCAGCAGCTGGAGCCTCCCCATAGGCACTCGGGGCCTCCCCTGGGGTGAGACTCCAGCTTTGCTCCCTGCCTTCCTCTCCCAGGCACGGCTGGGGACTGGAAAACCACCTTCACTGTGGCGCAGAATGAGCGCTTCGACGCGGACTATGCAGAGAAGATGGCAGGCTGCAGCCTCAGCTTCCGCTCCCAGCTGTGACAGGGGCTCCCGGGGTCACTGCAGAGGGAGTGTGCGAGTCAAGCCTGACCACGGGGCTCAAGAATAAAATATGAATTGTGGGCCAGCGACAGTGGGTCATGTCTGTAATCCCAGCAATTTGGGAGGCTGAGGTAGGAGGATCACTTGAGCCCATGAGTTGACGACCAACCTGGGCAACATAGTGAGATTCTGTTGCAAAAAGTAATAAAATAAAATCAATTTTTAAAAAGAGAATAAAATATGATTTGTGGGTCAGGCAGGGTGGCTCATGCCTGTAATGCCGGCAATTTGAGAAGTAGAGATCAGAGGATCACTGGAGGGCAGGAGTTTGGGACCAGCCTGGTCAACGTTACAAGACGCCATCCCTACAAATTTGAGAAAATTATCCTCACGTGGTGGTGAGCACCTGTAGTCCCAGGTACAGGCCAAATTAAGGCAGGAGGATCCCCTGAGCCAGGGAGGCTGTGGCCGCAGTGAGTGGTGATTAAGCCAATCCACTCAAGCCTGGGGGACAGAGCAAACCCTGCCTGAGAAATAAATAAAATACAATTTAATTAAAATAAATTGTGATTCCTGACCAGGCTGGCCAACATGGCAAAACCCTGTCACTACTAAAAATACAAAATTAGCCAGGCTTGGTGGTGCACGCCTGTAATCCCAACTACTCGGGAGGCTGAGGCATGAGAATCGCTTGAACCTGGGAGGTGGAGGTTGCAGTGAGTCGAGATCATGCCACTGCACTCAAGCCTGGGCGACAGAGCAAGACTCCGTCTCAAAATAAATGAATAAATAAAATAGTTTAAACAAGAGACACACAGCAAAAGAAGTACAGCATAGAGTAACTTATTGCAACAGATAAATGGTATTTTGAAAGTACAAAGTGGGCAATATACCTTGGAGAGTTCAGAACAGGCTCTTCGTCGGGGCTAGACAGTGTTGATTATTGCAGGAAAAACCCCCTTGTTGGGAGTCTCACACAATTGTTCATAAGGGTGGGAAGAGGAGTCACTAGTAAGCATGTTCTGGGTGGCTCTGGGTGCACATGGGCATTTGCTATGCATGCTTGTTCCTAGGACGAATGTCTCCACCCAGAGGTGTGGTTTTTACTATTAAATGAGCAAAGGGTCAGTTTGAGGACAGGTAAAATGCAAACGCAAATGTTCTCAAAACGGGAAGTCTCTACTGGAGATAGCTTTGCTCGAATGAGCTCAGTGACCAGGCGAATGCTAAGGCTTACTATATTGGCTATGCGGTCACCAGGGTGGCAGCATCCCCAGAACGTCATTGTCTCCTTCACGGACTATCCTGCCTCACCCGAGCTCCATGCCCTGTCCTGGCCCAAACAAACTCTTGGAGTCTGTCTTGGGGTTGGCCTTCCACTGGGGCAGCAGGATGACCCACACCAGCTCAGGGTGTGTCTCCTGGGGGTAGAGGGGCTTGTGTCAACACGTGGCCACGTGGGGAAGCTCCTTCCCGGCTGTTAGGCTGTCCCCCAGGCCCTGTGCCCTGCCCTGGCCTGGACACTGACTCTTTGCCTTCTTCATCGATGTCATCTACCTCATACCTGCAGACAAAAGGAAGAAAACGCTGGATGCAGCCAGGGTCGCGGTCCCTGTCGGGAAGTGAAGAGGACGGGGACAGCCCAAGAGCTGGGTGCTCCCTGCACAGCAGGCGCTGTCCACAGCACCCTCTGGGGAGCTTTTCTCCTGCTGCAGAGCCAAAGCCCAGGCAGGTGCGGTGACCAGAGAGCATCCCTGGGGCTGGTGTCACTCGCCTGTTGGTGGCGTGGCTCTAACTGTCCACCTCGGCCAGGATCCACTGCTCGTCCCCATCCACAGCCTTCACCGGGGCAGCCACCTTGTCTCCAGGTCTGGCCACATAGTCCCGAGGTGGCGATGGCCCCACAGAGGGGTGGGGGCCTGTGAGTGGAACCAAGGGTCAGTCCCAGCCCCTGGGCACCAGCCCCTCCCTCGAAGCTGCTGCCCTCACCTTGTCACCAGGCTTCCCGATCCACAGGGGCAGGGTCATGGCTGACTGCTGCAGCAGGGTCACCAGCACCCCTCTGCACATGGTCTTCCAGGGCGGCTCTGAGTCATTGTAGAGACTCAGGATCTTGGCCGATGTAGGAAGGAAGGAAGCCCTGACCACAGGAGCAGGTCCAGCCCCAACCCCACCTAGCCTGCTGCACTGAGCTGTTGGAGGAATCCTGAGAGCCTTAGCTCCCTACTGAGCCCAAGGGCCCAGCAGGACTGTGGCCCCATCTGCCAGGTGTCCTACAGGGGCTGCTGCGCTCAACTACAGATGGGTGAGGTGGCAGCACAGCGGGTACCCAGGGGGAGGAACCAGGGAGGGACAAATCGGGTTCGGAGATGCAGGTCAGTTTCTCTTCTTGATGTTGGTGCTGACACAGAAGTGTGTTTAATAAAAAATTTCCTAAAATTCGAAGGGTCCCGCGGTAGTTGCGGCGAGGCCGAGGCGCTTCTTCCACTATTACCTGCTCTACTGCCTGAACCCCTCCGCACCAGGATGGAGTCTACGTGGGGTTCACTGTCCACCCTGCTTGTGGGGTCCAGCAACATAATGGAGGCTGCACCGAAGGCAGGACCCAGGCCGGGCACAGTGGCTTACATCGGTAATCCCAGCACTTTGGGAGGCCGAAGCGGTCTGATCACTTGAGGTTAGAAGTTCGAGATCAGCCCGGCAAACATAGTGAAACCCCGTCTCTACTAAAAATGTAAAAATTAACCAGGCATGGTGGCACATACCTGTAATTCCAGCTACTCAAGAGGCTGAGGCAGGAGAATAAGCGGGGCGGGGAGGGGGGGGGGGTGGAAGCATGGGGAGGAGGAGGAGGTGCGGGGCCACGTCGGAGGTTGCAGTGAGCGCAATAGCGCCATTGCACTCCTGGTGAGACGGAGAGGGTGTCTGTGCTGGGAAGAAGGCTTCCTGGAGGAGGCAGACGGCACTGGGCACAGGTCTGATGAGAGGGACCTGCCAGGCCTGTGAAGCCGGCGGGGACCGAGCCTGTCCCAGGGGAGGAGCGTGACGGGGAGGCGGTGCCTGGGGAATCTTGATGTTGGAACTCCAGGAGGAACTGGCTGGGGCGGGGGTGATGATCCAGGCTGGGGTCCTGCGTAGCGGTCCTGGTGGGCACGCTGGGGTTGGGTGGGGCGCAGGAGGAGAGCAGGGGTGACAGACAGGTACCTAGACTGGAGGCGGGTTCTGAGATTGGCAGGTGGAGGGGGCGCGGCTGCAGGCTGCGGCGGGGCCTGGGGCTCGGCTGAAGCCGGGAGCGAGGACCCCGCTCTCGGGTAGAATTGGAGGGTACTCGTGGTGGGGCGCAGCGAGGCTCAAAGGGACACCCACGTTCTCCTCCCCAGGGTGATGGTGCATGTTCTGCACTGTTTCCCGTCCGCCGTGGCCACCATTCCAGCAAGGAAGGAGACCGCGTGGTGGCGAGTGTCCGGGGTTTGGGGTCCCACCCCTACCCGACGCAGTCATGGCGCCCCCGTACCCCGCCGGATTGTAGTGGACCCGTCTCCCCCGCCCTGGGTGCACCAGCCGCTCCCGCAGCGCCCAGACCTCCGCCGGGAGCTCTGACGGCTGTGCAGTACTGGCCGCTGGCCTTCGGGCCTCCCCCGCCCCAGGGCGCCGCGCAGGTGCCTTTGCTGACGCCGAGCGTGAGCCTGAGCCCGACCCGGGACCCCAGAGGCCTGTGCGCCCTGAAGCGCCCGCGCACTTCAGGGGAGGTTCGCCCCAGGCAAGGGGGATGCATCTTCCCGACGACTTCGGATCCAGCTGTTTGTTGAGGAACCAGGAAACGCCCTGACACTTTTGCGGCCCTGTCCCCGTCTCTAGATGGGGATGACAGTACTTCTGTCCATTGCGGAGCACAGCAGGACCTGCCTTTTCCCTTTGACTGGAAGGTTCTTCTCTACACCCCCATCTGTCTTGATAACCTGCCACCTCCGCAGAGGTCTTCCCTGTCTCCCGATTTAAAATTGCAGCTCTGAGAAGCCGGGCACGGTGGCACATGCCTGTAGTGCCAACTACTGGGGAGTCTGAGGTGGGAGGATTGCTTGAGCCCGGGAGCTGGAGGCTGCAGTGAGCTCTGACTGTTCCATTGCACTCCAGCCTGGGCGAAAGAGCAAGACTCTGTCTCTAAAAAGATAAACTAAAATTGCATGTCTTGTGTGCTTCACCATGGCTCCTTCTCCTGAATACTTATTATCTCACGTGCTGCGTGTTTTATTGATCTCATTAGTCTCTCCCATCCCAACCTTTGTACTAAACTGCCTGAAGGCAGCTCTTGTCACTGCTGGAGAACAGAGTCCTGCACAAAGCTGATGGCTAAAAAATAGTTAATGAAATAATGGATGATGGGCGGGTGGTACTAAGTTCACCTTAAATGTGAGTGGAGGACTAGCCCTGCAGAGATTCAGTGACCTGCTGGCCGTTGCTAAGCTGTCACGAAGTTCAAGTCTGGCTGCAGTGTCCAAGCTGTGACTCAGTCACTGCTGATGCTCACGGGACCTTCACCAGCTTAGTCCCAGAGAGCAAAGATTTTAACCCCCGACCTCCATTTCCTCGTCTGTAAAATGGAAATATGGAGCTGTGTAACACCCGGAACAGTGCCTGCTGCACAGAGGCTCCCTGCCAGCTCCCTCTCCCTCCTTGCCTCTTACCTGCCTGCTGCCTGGGACTGGATGAACAGGTGCCTTTGTGTTGCTCTGACCCTGGCTGCCCGCCAAGGGTCCATGTGATCTGCCTGGCAGAGGAGTTCCTTTGGGAAGAATCAGGGCAGCTTCTGTCCCCCGGCACCAGCCTGGTCCAGCTCTGGGAAGAGGGTGCCCAGTTGTATAAGCCAGGCCTGGGCAGCCGAGTCCTCATCTTGATATTCAGGGCCCAGCCTGGAGGGGACTTGTGATGCCTGACTCTATCTCTCTGGCCCCATGCCTTGGTAGCTGTGGGAGGTCACTGCTTTAGGTGACCTGATCTGGTTGTGCAGATGGGCATGGAGGAAATAGTAGAAGACTCGGAATTAGAAGACGCGAGTGGGCTTTGGCCCCGGCCTCGCCACCCCACTCCCTGCCCTGGGCTGTCTGTCACCAACCTTCTTGCCTCCACAGACACACTGGACAGCCCTGCCGGGGACCTGATCCTCAGCGTCCCTAACCCTCTCCCAATACCAGTGGCCTAAGGGAGGTCCTCAAAGGCCGGTGGGACATCCATCTCTGTCAGTCTCCAGGCTCTTGACACTTTTGCCAGAAGGAATTTAAGGACAAGTTAGAAGGCATGAATGGAGGGAGATTTCTTGCAGAGCAAGAGTATACACTCAAGAAGGGGAATGTGGGGGTCATGAAGAGAGTGTCTCATGCCCTAGGTTTGGGACTGACCTTTATGGGCTTCTTTAAAGATGGTGTATTCATGAAGATTCCAGGAAAAGGTAAAGATTTCTCAAAACCGTGGTGCCACAATTTACGTCCAAATACAGGTGTTCCTGGAGCGGTCTTGGCACTGGTCGGTGTATGATTTAACATCTTACTGATCATATAATGAGATCCTAGGTGAAACCTACATCAAATGCAGCGCCATGTTGGGTCTGGTTGGTTGTAGCCAGCTTGGTCCTCATCCTATTTTTCCGGGACTTATTGGCCCTTAGCACATGCAGCTATTTCAAGTTTCCTTCTTCTGGTCATGTGAAACTGCAGCCTGGGATTTTCTAGTCCCCAGCTACCACCCTGTATTAATCTCACATTCTTGCCTATTTTCCATGCCATCTGGAGTGGGTCTAGCTGGTTTTTACCGGACTGCAATACAAAGTCTGAGCCAAGGGTACCTCCCGATGGTTACTGAAGGCAGAGATGGAGCTAGTGGCCTCAGGACCTGTCAGTCAGGATCACAGAGGAGGGAGGAGGGGCCGTGGCCCTAACAGGTGACCAGCCTCCCCTCTGCCTGGAAACCCCACGCCTCAGCTTTCCCCTGCTTGCCTCTGAGTTCGCGGAATTCTTGAAAGCCTTGGGAGACTCACCTTTACTCAGCTGGTTACCTGTCTAGTAACCAGCTTGACCTTGGACTTTCAATAGTGAGGATAAAGAACGAGGAGGATGGGGGGGATGCCCTCCTTCCACAGGGCCCCGAGGCTTCCAAGCCCCAACCTCCCCCGTCCTCTGTCTGCAGAGCCTTCTTCAAACCCAGGGAAAGAAAAGCACCTGCAGGGGCTGCTGTTCTAGGATCTTCTATTGATGCTCTGTGAGGTCCCCTGGGAGCCATGAGGCTGGGGCTGTCTCCCAGGGCAATGGGACTCCAATGTCGTTGTTCTTTCTTCTTCTGTGCATCCATGCTCTGCTCCACCCCTGCCCCTTCACTGTGCCCACACACATCACTCCAGGCTGGCCTTGTGGTCGGAGCCTGGAATGCCTGCACTGCTGAGGGCCTGTGGGCTGCACTAGACCAGAACCCCTGGCGCCTTCAAGCATGGCCTGGAGCCAGCAGTTAGGTGACCTTTCCCGGGCCTGCCTATCTCAGCCTTCTCCTCCAACCCCTCCCACTTCTTCTCTGGGTCAATTAGAGAAAGCTTGTCTATTGGCCTGCCTGGTGGGGTGGAGTCCAGGGGTAGGTCAGGAGCCCTGGGACAGCTCAAAACAACACAAAGAAAACCAAACGCACCATTGGGCCCTTTCCCCTTTCATTCTTGCTATTATTATTATTATTCTGAGCTAGAGTTTTACTTTTGTTGCTCAGGCTAAAGTGCAATGGCTGGATCTCGGCTCACAGCAACCTCCACCTCCCGTGTTCAAGAGATTCTCCTGCCTCAACCTCCCGAGTAGATGGGATTATGGGCATGCTTCACTATACCTGGAGTAGAGCTGGGGTTTCTCCATGTTGGTCAGGATGGTCTCGAACTTCTGACCTCAGGTGATCCGCCCACCTCGGCCTCCCAAGGTGCTGGGATTACAGGTGTGAACCACTGTGCCCGACCATTCTAATGTTTTCTACAGATCAAACCCAGTCTTGGCTTTGCAGATCACTCCAAGCTTGTCTCCAGCTGGCGGACTAAGGAGGATAATGGAGAAGCTCCCCAACTCCCAAACCCACCTCTTCCTCCCAGGAGCAAAACTAACTCTGGCCTGGCTCCAGATCCCTCCCACACTGGACTTAGGAAACCCTCAGCACAGATAACAGCCCTGCATTCCCACACCGCACCCACACTCAGCCACTGCGGGCGAGGACAGCCAGCTCCCGAAAGCTCAGGTGAGTGACATGGTGGAATGGCCCAAGTCGCCCTCACCCTGCTCAGCTTCTGGCTCCAACATTCCAGAAGCCGAGGCCTCTGCCATTCCTGCTCTTTCCCCATGGATATCCCATTTCAATCAGACAACCCTGGCCAGGCGTGAATCCCCCTCCCTCCCTTTTTTTTTTTTCCCCTCAGGGAAGCCAGGTCTTGCTGTCACTCAGACTGGAGTACAGTAGGATTCTGGTCACTGCAGCCTTGAATTCCTGGGCTCAATCAATTCTCCTGTCTCAGCCTCTAGAGTAGCTGGGACTACAGGGCCTTGCCATCCTTCCTGCATAATTTTTCAAAATATTTTTTAAAGGCTGGACTCGGTGACCACGCCTATAATCCCAGCATGTTGGGAGGCCAAGGCAGGTGGATCAGGAGGTCAGGAGTTTGAGACCAGCCTGGCCAACATGGTGAAACTGTCTCTACTAAAAACACAAAAACTAGCCAGGTATGATGGCCAGCTCCTGTAATCTCAGCTATTCTGGAGGCTGAGGTAGAATTGCTTGAATCCAGGAAGTGGAGGTTGTGGTGAGCCGATATCATGGCATTGCACTCCAGCCTGGATGACAGAGCAAGACTTCGTCTCAAAAAATAAAAAATAAATAAATATAAAAGATTTTTAGAGACGGGGTCTTGCCATGCTGCCCAAGTTGGTCTCCAACTCCTGGCCTCCTAGGGTCTGGGATTACAGGTGGGAGTCACCCTGCCCAGGACCCTCCTCCTGCTGAGTCATCAGTTTTGTTCGTTCCCACACCAGGGTCTGGCCCCCAATACTAGCTAGTTGCTCAATGGGCCGTGTTTGTCTTGGAACCCAGATGGACTGTGGCTGGGCAAATGGATCACAGGCCTGGCCGGCCTGGAAGGTTTCCAAATGTGAGGGGCCCTGAGCGGGTCAAGGAGAGGAGCACCGGGGAGAGGAGCCCAGCCAGCCTGGGAGGTTTCCACATGTGAGGGGCCTTGAGGGGCTCAAGCAGGGGAGCATCTGGGAGAGGAGCCCACTGGGTGGAGGCTGGGATCTCAACACCCTCCTCAAACACTGGGTTTGATGTGTAGAAAATATTAGAATGGTCGGGCGCAGTGGTTCACACCTGTAATCCCAGAAATGGTGAGACAAAGGGCACTGGCTGGCAGGGAGACAGCACAGGCAGGCCTAGAGCTTCCTCAGGGCAGCTGGAGTCTCCTGGAGACCTTCACACACCCTGATACCTGGGCCCCGCCCCGTGAGGGCACTTTCACTGGTCTGCACCATGGCCCAGGCCCTGGGATTTTGCACAGCTCTGCAGGTGAATGAAAGCTTCGGCCAGGCTGGGGAACCACCGCACTAGACGCAGACCTGGTTTTCAGCCCCAGCCCTGCCACTGACTGGCTTTGTGAGCTCAGGCAAGTCACTCAGCCTCCCTAGGCCTCAGTGACTTCCCTGAAAGTGAGAATTCTG